TATATATATTTTTTTTTTTTTTTTTTCTGTTTTTTTTTGCCTCCCGTCTGGCTAGGACGAACCTACGATGCAGGGCCCCCACTGAGCAATTTACATTGAGTGACTGTGTGGAGACGTCGACGTGTTTGTAGCGTCACCCGGACAAGATCCCTTTCGGGATACTGCGTGCCTTCTCGGCATCAAGAACTCAAAAACATGCAGGACACGCTACCCACTTACAGGCATCCGCTCTCACCTCCAGCCATCAGTCTATCAGTCCATCACACTTGGCGATCCCACAACAGCACTCGGATTATTTATTAATGTCTTAATGCCGCCCCCATCTGCTAGCGCCACGGTTGTCTAGGGCTATGCTACGCCATGTTTCTACTTTCCATGTCTTCAGCATCAGTTCCTTACCATCACAGTACTGAACTGAACTTCCTGCACATGCACTGCGTTCTTCGACTTTCCGAATTACCCCAAAATTTCGCCATGCCGCAAGGGAAATTCGTGACAAGGTGCGGGTCATGTGTGAAGCTTTCACACGCCAGATAGGGGGAAGCATGTTGGCCGTGGTTCTGAATCTCTGCTGGTCTCGTCAGTGGTCGTCCTGGTCGTCGTGCTGGTCCCGGTCTCCTGGCCCTCCCGTGGACCCAGGTGCGTGCGGGGGTGCGCGCACAGGGGCTTGCAACGGGTTGTTGTGATGGATATGCCGTATGGTTCGATTCCACTGTTTTGGGATCTACGCTGACGTGATTAGACACAGTCTGGAACGCAGCCCTCACCCCCAACCGCCAAACGAACATGCAGTTGAACACGGGCACAGAATGTAAACTTGGCAACAACAATGCAACAGGGATATCTTCGTCTATGCAGACCTTAGAGCATATTTGGGGATCAATCCGCATGTGCGGCACAAGTACAAACGCGCTGAAGAGGATGTTCCGGGTTTTCATCTTCGGATTAGGAGGAGGCCTATAGACTGCGCCGCCAATAGCATTTGTTCCATGACCTATGCTGCAATGTGGCCGTTCTTCCGACTTGAACAGAGCTCTACCCTGGCGCCTCTTTCCCAGTCATTGCACACTATACCAACGGACACTTTCGTTGCCTGTCGCCCCGTCGCCGGCCAGCTCCTTGAGACATTGTCGGCTCTGGTCTGCACAGACAACCCAGGTGAGTCCCTGGAGGCCTGAATGGATGAAGCCTGCCTCGGAGTACAGGTGTTGACACAACACAATCGGCGCCTAGGTGATTCAACGCTCAAGCGCCGAGCACGTTCAGCAGTGACCTCAATCAACGAGCTAGTCCTGTGCGGCGATGGGCCATCTTGTGCGGGTGTCTGCCAAAGCTCCCAGCGGTGGTGGTGGGGCAGCCAGTGCAGCCGTCTGAGACAGTCGCGGAGCACATGGAGCACTGAAAACTCAAGAGATGCATGTTGAGCTTTTGAGCCTCTTCGTCCTGGCCCTTAGGCCCCTCGCATGTTTTGTTCAACGGAAGTGTTGTCTCCAACAGTCTCTGAAATTCAGGGTGGGTTGGAGTTGTGTTCAAGCTTGGGCATGCGGAGGTTGGGATGCATCTGCCTTGTTGTGTCGGTCTCTCCATTGCGTAATATGAGAGAACGCTAGATGCTAAACAGTGGGAAGCTTTCATGTTGCCTTGCCGCTTCAAATTATGTTTCAGAATGTCCGTGCCCTAACATCCGAGGCTTGTTAAGCTCCGGCGCATCGATGCGAGCCTTGAAGAAGTGTCGAGTCTCCTCTGTAAGGAGATCGAACGGAACAGCCTCGCTCGTTGTGCATCACCCCATTCTGTGCAATGCTCCACACCACATTGCAGCATCGTGAGGGCTCTACGCGGTCAAGCAATCCGGCTCTTGCGAAAGGCAGAGCCTCAGGTGAGCCGCCAAGGCCTTTTGTCACATTGGCGCGCGGAGGACAGAGTCTCGCACGAGATCTTGCAGCTGCAAAGCTGGTAGACTTCGCGAGAGCCTGCTGAGAAACCCAACTTCGATCGAAAGCCCCGCTGAAGTCTGCGAATCTTTCCAGGCACACTCAGCTTGACACGTGAGTAGTGCCAACCCCACTTGCTCATAGAAAGCAGTTGCCTGCCAAGCCAGGCCGAAGTCAATGCAGCTGATCTCGAACTGCAAATTGCACCAACACAACTTCTGACAGCCTGGAGTTGAAAAGACTCGGGGCACTGCCTCAGTTGAGGTGTTGGAAAACCAAAAGCTCAGTAACGTCATGAGGGTTTCCGACAGGAAAAGCAGCGACGTTGGCCCATCGCCTCGGTTCGAGATTTCAACCGCTCGCTGTTCACAGACGTACATTATGGATGGGAATAAGCCTTAGGAAGGGTAAAGAGTAAAGACCCGACTATACATACACGCGTGCGGCAATGCGAAAAAACAGGCGTGCATGAGGAGAAGAACGCCGGATGCCTCGTCGATCTTCCGGTTCTGCTGCAAGCCGCAGTGTTCTCGGTTCCTGGACGGCAACATGCAAGATTTGGAGCCGTGCCGATGGCGCTGATCATCAATGGCTTACCTTGCGCGCACAAAACCTTTTTGTCCATCAGGTGGGGGGCAAGATAATTCGGTATGTGATTGACCTCAACAGGTGCCGTGTGAAACATTGCGTTCAGGCGTACCTAAGCGAACACACGCAGGCGGAATGCACATAGTACTGAACCTTGCGCGAGAATTCGTTTTGTGTGGCAGCCTTGCCTGAGTTTCTTTGCCATGTCAGAGCGTGATGAGTAAACCCAGTGCATGTCCATGGCCGTTACACCCTGGATCAGCGATCCAAATTTGAGGCATGCCGTTTCTGATGCACAAGCCGGTTTCAAATCTCATGGCCGGTGCCGGTTTGCCGGTCGGTTTATAAAGACTGTACATCAGAGATGATGCGCTTCACCATCTCATCAATGTCGACGAAAAGGCTAGTGGTGAAGGGGCCGCAGGTGGACACCTCGTATCGCCACGGCGGACCATACGTTGAATCGCGATCAACGAGCACATGGACCGGGCAGTCCTGTCAGTTGGATGACATCCCACTCCAAAAACAAAGCCAAGGTAGCCTTAATGGATAGTTACTCCCATGTTAGCCGTTAGCCCTCTCTTGTGCCTTCAGTATGCAGGGTTCGCTTGTGCATGACCATGGCAGGCGAAGTGGTGGATTTACCAACCAAAGTCCCAAGGGCCGGATGCCCTTGGAGACAAGTTCTCGAGCGACGGCAAAGGCGATGAAGGCCCCGGTGCCAAGTCCCACGAGAGCCAACGGCGCGTCCCCAGCCTTGGCATCCTTGGTCACAAGCCGTCACACATGCTCAACCTTCTGGTGGGTGGCCTTTTAGAGTCAGCTGCGGCTCCTCCAAGAATCTTCGAGCCATTTCTTGCGCATCAGAGTCTCGCTTCTCGTCATCGATGATATCCTGTCCGAACACAGGTGCGAGCCGCATAGATTCTTGCATGAAGCAAGTGTCGCCATCCTTGCTCAGCAGTTGTCGTGAAGGGACGTCGGCACTGTCGCAGTGCCATTGAATGCGCGATTGCTCGTCAGTGAAACTTACCTGAGATGAGGAGGGCATGCAAAAGGCACACGCTCTGTCGTTTCTCTGCCAGTTATGCAAAAGCCTTACAAACTGGGCAAGCATGGAGGCTCGACCCCCTTGGTCGACGACCTGTCGTACCAAAACCTCGTGCACAGATCCCAATGGACGAGGAATGCAGAATCGAAGGCCAACTAAGTAACTAGTCTCTGGACGCACCTTCCTGCGGGGCTTCCGTCAACAAGGGCTTGCTGGGTCTTTGCAAGGGAGGTCACGTGTCACGGACTAGTTGCTTCCAAATTGCACCTTGAACGTCAATGCCTGATGAGTCTGCTGCAGCCGCTGCAGCCTGCTGAAAAATCTCAGGCGATGCTTGGCACACCTGCGCCAAGAGCTCCAGCCGCTGAATGGGCTTGGGAGGCGTGCCGCCGCTGACAAACGGCTCTCCCTGGCTTTCGATAGGCTCGCCTCTGGCTTGCATCGCCTAGGTCAGCGCAGATCACCGCAAACAAGGGCACTGAACGAGAACCTTGTGCCTTCCTCTGGAGATATCTTGGAGGAAAAATAGAAGCAGGAAGAGAAACTGAAGCTAGCTGCTATTGCCAAGACCGTCTGAATTTAGGTTTGACCAGGTTCTTTCTAGGGTGCATGTGAATTGCAACAGCGCGGCCACAGTAAGGGTTTCGGTGGGAGAGAAGCAGACCGCCAAGGAACTTGTAGGGCTTCAATGGCCTTTGGAAGGTCGGCTCCCACGCCCACGGGATCCGGCACGACTAACAATCGCCTGCTTTGTTGGGGAACGTGCTTTAGCATCCAGTTGCGCATCTGGCATCGGGCCTCTTCTCTGCCTTCGGCTGGCTTGGAGCTGATCGCTGCACTGGCAGCCAAAGCTTGGAGCGCACTGCATTGTCGCTGTGGTCCGAGGGGGTAAATTCTCTTCCCTTCTCCATCGCATCCAAGAAGCCTGTAGCTCAGTTGGCTCAGTCATGACAGTGCATGCAGGAATTTCGGCAATTTCACGAGTACATGCAGACAAGCTTCGTGCGAAACGCCAGAAAACCTTCTGTCTCAGCAACTTCCCTACACACTGTAGTATGTCATGCTACGCTCCAAAACACACTTTTCCGCCTAGGAGCTGCCTGCTCTTTCTTCAAAATCGGTGGCTTGTGCCCGTCATGATGGACGATCACTTCCCTGAAGTTTGGATGGATGAACAATGGAAGCTCTTCATACTCCATGTACCTCGGCGTGTGCGCAAATTAAATTGCAGCCCCCTGCTGGCATGAGGAACGACGGCATTCAGGATGCAGGCCCGCCACGGATGGTTTTCATCCGAATTGCTCCAGCTACAGATCGTTGGAATTTGCAAAGGCGCCTTGATGCGGTCTTTGCCCATGGGTGAAAGGTGCTTGGGCGCCGTGCTGGTAAACAGCATGAGGAAACGGAATGCCTCCTTGCAGCGGGGAAGCTTGCCTAATTCTCACCGCAAGCCATTGTGCACAAAACCGTTCCTTCAGGTCCGGATCTCCCTCAGTCGCCAAGCCGGCGACGTGCACAAGGAACTCGCCACCCATGTCGAAGCCCATCGCTCCGTCAAATGGTCCATTCCTCGATCCGGCGACTGTGACAAGCGCTTTATTTAAACACGCCTGCATTCATGTATCGGATTCATCGAAGCCTCTCTCGGAGGAACGTCTTGAATTCCTTCAGCGTCTTGTCGAAGCCCTCCCATGTTTCCCGCTGACAATTTGCATAGGGAAGGCGCTCGAAGTAAACTGTGAAATTCGGACCAAATGGCTTCAAAGAGAAGTCGCCATTCCATCCGAGTGGTACGGCATGTGGGCCAGTCCAAATCGTCCACTCAAGCTGCTTCTTGCAAGGCATCTCTTTGAAGGTGCTGTTGAGCTGCATCTGGGCGACCTGAAGGCATGCAATAAGTTAGGTGTATGACTGCGTGTGGGTCGCCGGGAGTGAGTCTGAGTCTTGTGTCCTTTGTTGCACGCACGCAGTGTCGAGAATCACCTACCGCGTGCTACAGACCTTAAGTAATGTTCAGCGCTACAGCTCGCTACGGCTGCGTGCCCAAATGGGGCGGCGGCCGCGGTGTCTCGATGGTCATGTTTTGCAGTGCAGCTGTTGGTGCATTCACTTTTGCAGTTACCAGATGCAAAACATGACCCTGGAAATCATCCAGCAGAGTCAGAGGGCAAAGACCACAGACTTAGGAGACGAGAGGGCCGGGTCAGACTGGAGGGCTGGTATTGAGTGTGTGTGTGGGTGGGTGGGCGTGTTTGTATCGCGTGAAGTTCTTCTTCAACACTCACAGGCAGGCACAGCCAGGTGAGGAATCCGATGCGACAAGACGATACGGCATTCGGGAGTGAGAAGTCAGGGCCAGTAATGTCCGCATCAACAAGGTCGATAACGTAGCTGCAGTACGAGTTGTAACACATTCACCTTATCGTAAGGAACAAAGATGCCGTCGTGCACCGAGTGGCCGTCTTGCTGACACCTCCTCCATGCAAGTATAACATCTTCATCTTCCCGTCTTTTCCGAAACATCGACTCGTTGGTGCGGGAAACACTTTGCTCGGAGGCACAAGGTGCCGCACCTGCGCAGGTGCACCAGCCAAAGGTTACCGGATCGGGTTCCACCCCCACAGGATCAAGGCTGTTGTCATAACGAAGCCATGGCTCCTCTTCTGCAGGTTCTGGGCTCGCTGGAACCCCTCCCAACGTGGATGCAGGCTGGACTAGGTCCTTTCCAGCAACCTGGCCACGAAGACTAGCAAATATGCAACAAGCAAACTGCAGCTGTTTTGTAGAACATCGACATCTTTTTCGACTGCTTTCAAGGGGGCATGGGTCCTTCGAGGAAATGTACTCTCATGATGTGAAGCATGCACGCGGATCAATGAATGGCAAGTCGCCACAATGCGCAGTTAGTGCAGCGTCACACTGGTATACACTACAACAATACAAGGCAATAGCATCGACATCGATGATGAACAGAAATGCTCACAGTGAGCCAGGTCGAGACCTGACAGCTCAGCTCTTGGTCTATCGACCGTTGCTCTGGCCCGGCCTTAAGGCTGATCCAGCCTTCAGCTGGGCCTGTGCCTTTGAGAAGGCAATATCTGAGACGTTCTCCAGCGCGCTCGAGCTCTCCCAAGACAGCTCCAGTCGACCTGACGGTAATCGTGCCAGATGACATGACCCCCGGCGTAGAACTTCAAATATTTCCATGCAAGTCGCAACCTCCCTGGAAGTTCGCTGGACTTCAAGCTTTGCCCTTCTCTCACCAGTATACCGCCTTTGTCGGCTCCACCAACCACTTCCCAGAACGAGGCCATTCTCCGGGGACGAGGACGAGGGAAGGCAGGTTTGATGGGGCTGTTTCGATGCGAGTTCTCAGGTGCCGCCTTGAAGCCACTGAAAAAGCCACTCTTGTCTCCTGACGTTTTGATCTGTTGGTTTGACGCTGTCGCGGCTGCGGCATTGCCTACACGATGGAGAGCTCCGCCATGCCTAGCCTGCAGCATTACAGTAGCTGCTTACCTGGACGACTTTTCGTGCTTTGAGGGGCACCTCTGGACTCTAGCTTCTCTGTGGATCGGGATGCCTTTCAGCACTTGCTTGCGATTCGTTTGCCTTGTGATTCACACCCTGTCTGACACCTCCAAGGCCCTTTCGTAGGATCCTGAATTTCAAGCAGGGCAAAAGCCGCCAGCCTGAAGACCACCCATGTGCAACCCCGTTTATGTGGTTCTGCGACTTGGGGGTTGAGGGGTAAGCATTGACAAAAGCCTAGCTGCTGCGTCCGGTGGCTTCACAGCTCCGTGGGGCCAGGCGCGGGCCCTCGTAGCTGTCCGGAACCTACAGCAGTCCACGGCATTCCGGAAGAGACGGTCGGCAACTCCGCTCTTGACCATGGGACCTGGTGCGCCAGCGCACAAAGGCATCGAAGCACCTCGGCACACGCTCTTCGATCTTCACTCGGCTTGCCTGCTCTTGAATGTGTACTGTTTCCAAAAGAGGCGTCCCAGGAAACGAACCGAGTGACGCTTCTAAAGTTCTTGCCCTCGGCTAGATCTCCGGGGACGAAGACGCTGTTGGCCATGCCTTCTTTGGTACAGGCCTGGACGAATTGCCTCAGAGAAGGTTTGAGCCCATCACAGATACGCAAGATTTGGGACTGGTTGCCTGCGAACAGCAAATCCTGGGACAGGTTCAGGAGCTACATATGCTTCGAAAGGCAAGAGGCGTTATGTTTGCCACTCGTCTGAATAGCACGTTGGCCGCGGAACCTGAGAAAGCTGCCACGAACTGGGTCGGGATCTGTCATGGAGTGCATAGATGCAGGGCCAGACCTCTAGCGATCCCCACGATGCGCCCAGGCCAGAAAGCATTCATCAGGTCGCACAGGACCTGCTCTGACCGAAAGAGTCACCCGTCGCCTTATTATTCATGACAAGCATCAATCAATATGTTGGCCTCGCCCGACTGCAAGGCATCCTGTGAATCTGCGCAACCGACTTGACATCTTCCACATCGCATCAGAACCGCAAACACATCAATGAAACAGGTTCAGCTCCACGGCCTGCAATGACCCGCTTCCAACCTCAGCTCTGAGAGCGTGAAAGGACTAGGCGATTCTCATGATCACAACTTCGAAAGCTCTTTCTTCAATCCAGCTAAGGATCCGATGCAATCCCTGCACCTGCAAGACGGCTTTGAGGTCTCCGGAACAGGGCTGTCATGTGGAGGCTTCTCCTGCCCTCGCAAGCCCCACCTGCCTCCTTACTTAGTTCAAAAATCCTCAAAACTGGATGGGGGAGCTATACATACTTGTCACGAACCAGCCGCACAGCATGCAAGTACACCGCTGCGCAACATTGACGTCCAAGCCTCCACATTCGCCATGTCTCGCTAGTACCACGCATTAACAGTTTCCATGCGGTCTGCATGATGTTTGGCTGTGCCACAGTCAGGGTAAGCGTGGTGCACACTTGATCACAATGGACTGACTCGGGAACTATTGTTTTCCAGCCTGGATCTCCGGTGACCGCATGGATCCACGCAGCCACTCGCAGTTCGTCCTCTCCTCAAGATCGGCCGATCTGTCGCATTGCTTTAAATGGATTTGTTTTGCCAAGCGTCTGAGCTGCTGCTCCTGGTGTGCTTGGATGGAATGGTCCAGAATTTCGACGTTTCCGTAGTGATGCCGCTCAGCTGCGCCCGACGCAGACTGGCACAGGCAGCGTGGGGATGGGTTTGGGGAAGGACCACGCCATCTGCTAGCTCGATCTTGCAAAACGAAATCCCCACGCCTAACCCAAAATAAGAGGGCCATTACTGCCTGGGGATCACTAGGGAGAAATGTAAAACGGACCTTGCGGACTAGGTTGGTCACGTCGACATGTTCGCATGATTTCGCATGGGAATGCGCAGGAGGACAGCTCTGATGGCACAGAGCCTGAATTTGCAATCTGTAACGAGACATGGATCTAAGCAACTAGAAGCAGCTTCGGCGCATCTCGGTTAATCTCCCTCAACGACGAAAGGATCTGTTCCTTCTGTCAGCATTGGAGCTGGGCCAAATGGGAGGCGCGGGGTAATGTAAAACGAGGGGAGGTTGCGACATACATTGATGCCGCCTTCACGTATTCCTCGGAAATCACCAGTCTTCCTGTACTAGTACCTGTTTGCAACATTCGTAAGCTATACTACCAGGACTCCGATCTCATATTCAGGGGAGGGCGCAATGTAAGACGGAGGGGGGGGTCACTAGCATTATCTATGCATGTCCCCTGCAATACGGACTGCTTCACAGTGTAACACTGTAGCCGAGCTTCTTGGCTGCACATGCTAACTGTCCGCACTGCTGGGCCCCAGCCTCCTGCATGCTGCCTCGGCTGCAAATTTAAGTTGCAAGGCGGACATGCATATTTGTTGATCCCGACCTCCCCGCTTTACATTATTCCCTGGGAATTCAAAAACCCTTCCGAAAGAGCAGGCCCCTCCCCGTGTTACATTAGTTGGGTGCGGGGATGAAACGAAGACGGACGAAGTGAGACTGCATTGGCAGGCAGCTGCAATCACCCTCGCGTAAGTGCGCTTGTGCGACAGTTTCGCAGATTCCCGTGCGCATGCAACGCCGGGTCTTGGAATTGATATGATTGCCGGTGATGCGCACAATGCAGGGGCTTCGCCACATGTGGTCAGCCTCGACTCTAGACTCAACATCTCCAATTTCCTGGCACCGCAGAGGATACGGCTACGGAGCAAGATGCTGCTGTAAAATGTTGCAGGTTTTTCTTCCCAAACAAATTCATAAACCGAGATTGTGGGAGGGTCATGCGAAGCCTGCTTCGGATCAGAACCGTGGAGTTTGGAGGCACCAAGGAACTCAATTGCAGGTAGCTGCGTGTCGGGGCATGCCGTCTTTTTCTGCAAACTTGAGAACCATCGTTGTCCACACACTCACTGGCCTACTTAACCCCTGCCTTCACCCACTCTCGAGTGCAAACACAGAACCTTGCCTTCGCCTCCAAGCGATCCACGGGAACGGATCGCCTCTGTCCATCTCGCTCCTCCCAACGGTGTGGGGTCTTCTCCGCTGCCAGGCGCTGCTTCTCTTCGATTTTCCTGGCCTCGTGAGTTTCTCGAACCGATAAGCTTGCTGCTTGCAGCACATAAAGCATGGAAAAATGCTCGCTTCTCCGACCCCACAGTATTGGCATTCTACGGCGCTGGAAGTTCGGCCGCGGTACATACTCCACCGCCACGCTCCCTTGAAACGAGATCACCTGCACACTTTGTCATTTGTCAAAGCAGCAGCAGGCTACTGGGACTTCTCAAAATCATGTGGCCATCGGGTCCAAAAGCATCGATACATGGGGGGCCGAAACACCACATTATTTCCAAAGGCAACCGTTTTGGACCCTGCAATCCTGAAATCACCAGCGACCCCTGATTTTCGCCTACCCGGGTCTACCCAATGTGCCGTTACTGAAACGAAACAAGGGCTTGTGGTCTACACATGTCAATTGCTTACGGTTTTTCAAGCTGGCTCGCACTACACATGCCGTATCGTACAAGGCCCCCTCCGAGGTTGGCCAGCAGCTTTGCTGTTGCAGCCGTTATGGAGTTTTCCGAACTTCTTGTCAGGATGAAGAAATCCCATGTGAAGTCTGTTGCTCGTAGGGAATCAGCTCGGAATGCGAATCTGCACTTATCCATGTTCGGAATGCAAGAGGCCCGGTATCTTGATACCAACATCTGCCTGTGTACCCTGAACAAAACATGATCTGACCACGATAGTCTCAAACCTGTGATCGTTTACACGCAAAGGCACGAAACAGTCGGCCAGCACTACACATCGGAATAGGACTGTGCTTCATGCTCCCTACTGGCATCGGTACTAGATTGCTGCTTATGCTGATGCCGATTGTTGTCGGTTGACTAAACTCCCCTTCCCCAAGCGGAGGACTGCGCACTCCCTTCCTTGTGTGCAGGCGAAATGTGACTTCTCTTTCGTCTGATCGTCACCGCCTGTCGCTGACAAACATCCACTCTGCATGAGATGGAACTTGTCAGACCGGGCCTAGAATCGAAACGCCCACTTGTCTGAACTGGCGGCTGACCCAGATATGCTACTCTTAGACTCCGCCGCAGCCTGCCCATCTGCGGTGTGTTCAACCACTTCTTCCATCTCGTCGTCGCCTTCGCAGACGATTGTCTGGACTGTTTGGCATGGTGATCCCTGCACGACCTGCCTTCACTGATGCTGCCGTCGTTGTCCGAAAGCTTTCCAGTGCCTGGCAGCCACTTCACGGTTCTTATGCGTTGCATGGGCGACCACACGACAATGCCTGCTTCATCGAGGAGCTTTGTCACATGGGCTTCCGCTGCAGGTTGGCCCTCACCGGTAGTTGGAATGCGTGCATGCGATGCAGATACCACCATGGTTTCCAACCCACATCATGTGTGTCGCAGGTCCATTCTTGCCTTGGGCACACACTCCAAGTCAGCTTCAGTTGGTGCTCGGATTTGAATGCACACTGGATTTCCAGTTGTGCCATCTTGAGCAACACCCACAGCAGCAACCTCCAGGTCAAGGCGGCCAAGGTTAGCCGATACTTACAAACGCTCTACAGTGCGGCCTGCCAAAGTGAGCCAGGATCTAAATCGAACCGATGAGTCAACTCTTGACTCTTCGACGGATCCAAGTCCAACTCAAGTAGCCTTTCCTCAGCAGGCCATATTTGAACAAGCCCAAAGGTATCTCAAACAATGAGCACGCCATGGCAACCCAGGGTCCCACAGATCCGTAGACTCCAGGTTTGGCTGAGCCGGATACGGCGCATCTTCCAGGTGCTCGCTGCTTTGGAAGGGTCGGAGCGCCAATCGCACCTAAGTAAGTGTCAGGCAAGATCTTGCTGGCGTGCTGGAGAAGATACATGGCAGGGCAATTGCGGACAGTCTCTGCGCACTCGAAACACATAAGCGTCAAGCGGAACATCGAGTGGGCGCATCAGCGCGTATCACAACCTGGAGAGATCGGGACTCCGAAATTCAATGTATGTAGGATTGATTCAGGCTGTCAAGCATACAACAGATGGACCTCGACGCCCCCAGGATCACCCGTGAGGCGAACTCGAACCTCGTGTGCAAGCTTCCCCTGAAGCCTACCACTAGCCCTTCAATGTTGCTGTCGCGGTTCCGGATCTTCGTGAGTTCACAGAGAGAATACCCCCTATCATAGCAAGGGCACGCTGCAAATAATGGCGGTGGCCGTCGAAGCATCCATATCCCAGTTTGGGGATCTGCGAGCGCGAGGAGCATTGAGGAACTCCAACAGGGCCTCGCTGTTGAGAACTCCTGTTAAAGGCAGATAGTGCCACGCTCACTACAAGGGGTGCTGCATCATCTGCATCATAGCAAACCATCAGGCCGCCAAGCCACAACGAGTCTGAGAAACTGCTATCCGCAGTGTTTTGTTTTCAGGGGAGGGCCCGTCGGTGTTAGATGCGGCCCTCTCCCTAACCGGTGCTCTTTCTGCTGCTGCCAGCCCCAAGAATTACCCAGGCGTGTGCACGCGGTGACGAAACAACAGGCCAACCATTCACCATCAGTCAGCACTCGTGCTTTGACAGTCTTTTCCGTGCACCTCATACCCGGTCTTCTGTGCTGATTGCACGCATCCTGGAAAGATGCGGGGCGAACCATAAGCATACATTTATTGTCAAGAGGTATTCACGTAAAATCGAAAGAATCCACAGTAGAGTCAAGAGAAACATGTCCAGTACGCTGTTCAGTCTACATCGATGCACACCCCAGTAGCACCGCCAATGACGAAGCAGCTCTGCAAACAAAGCTTGCTGGGACAGAAGTAATCAGAAAGTATCAAAGAAAAGTAGCCAACCAGACAACAGAAACATGTATTTTTGTAGCATTCAACATGTAGGTGCTGACCATCTTTTGCAACAGGCGAGAAACAGAGAAACCGCTGTTGCTTGGGCGATCACTCATTTCTCCAATCCTTCGACTGCTCAGCAACACAGCGCTTGACTCTTCAAACTGTGACAATTGAGGAGAAATCCTCGCGACAGCAGGCATATGTGCATGCTACAGGCGTATATGCTCTGACAAATGCTCTTAGCAGTCCTTCCATGTCGAGGAGTCCCACGAGATATCCTGCCAAAACACTGTTCGATGCCCTGAAATGCGCACATCTTTCGCTCACCCCGGGCGCAGTCCAAATAGCTTGCCATAGCGCTCTTCCATCCAATCACTCCGCGTTCCATCTCCACCGAACACTTTCTGCCAGAAGGGCTCCTGTCAGCGTTAGATCACCTCCCTCCTCACTAGGGCCGTGCTGCCAGCAGGCACGACTTCTCTTCGGCTATGCTGTCTGCGTCAGAACTGCCCATGTTCTCTGTCTGTCTGTCTGTCTCTCCATATACATATAGGTAATAGGTGTATATATATATATGTATGTTATAGACACACACACATGTGTAAGTAGGTATATCATGAATGTTTTGATACACAAACATAAACATGTACATGCATGTGTACACACACACAGAAGCTGTCCACAGCATTGTTTCCTGTCTGAACGCGCACTGCAGGAGGTTATTAGGCATTGCATGCCAGGATAGCTTTCCTCTGATGTGACAGAACCTATAGCAAACAATCACCTATTGCAAAGGTGGCTGGCATGACTCAGTTGCCGGATGTTTAAACGAACAGAAGGTGTACGCTAGAGTCTTAAGTTCAGGACTTCGGTTTGTACGTTGGGCATTTGGATGAAGAGCTGAGTGACCGCAAAAAGCGGGGCACTCTCTACAGCAACGGAAACGGTGCCAGAGGACAACAAGCAAAGCCTTTTCTCAAGGCGGGGCAACCGGTTCCTTTGCACTGGAGTCTGCTGGAGCCTGGAACCCGCGTGATAGTCTCTCACCGATTCAAGGATTTCAGAACATTCGAACACTACTCCCGGACGGAACTCGATCGTGTATCAAGCCAGTTTGACAATATCGTTGGAGAAGCTTCTTATACCTGCGGTGCCTAGTCGATCTACTGTATGTCTACTGTGCAGTAGATGCCTGTAATGCTGAGATCACGCAAATCAGGCCTTGGCATGGGAGGCCAGGTGAATGCTGATACTCGGTCAGCCATTGGCTGTGCTTGTCAATTCACAGCAATCTCCCTGGGTTGTTAATTTTGGGGGGGACTGGAGCAATCAAACGAGTTAGATTTACAGTGGAAGCCTTGGTCAAGCAGTACAAGCCCAAAGTGGCCGATTTGCTGTGCATCGCTGCACTCAAACCTCGCACCGATGGCGACGCTGCGCATGCGATCGAGGAAGTCGCGCTCAAGGCTAGAGTCAAGCCATCCAGAGAGATGACCACTATCGCCAGCGCACGGAGTCCAATCGGGAATGGGTTAGATGCAGCGGTGGCCGAAGGCATAACATCGCTGTTTGGGCCTATCAAGACTCATGAAGCTTTTGTCCATGCCTTAATTAAGACCTGGCGCTTGAAATCCGGCCGCCCAGTGCTCTCTCTGTGTCGTGGCGAGTGGTCCGACTCCCTCGAGCGTCCCTCGACGGGAGAAGTTCGGCTGTCCGTCCGGTCCTCGCCTGCTCTGGAAGACTTGTGGTCTCGACAAGGGTGCAACGATTCAGATAAGGCGGGGGACGGTGTGTCATGTTGTGGTTCCGCTTGGGGCATCTAGACCAAAACAGGTTTGGCAATCCCCCGTTCCAGGCTCGAACAAGGGGGTCTGACAAATCCCCGTTCTCTGCTCGAAGATGGGTTTGCTAAACCCACATGCTCCCATTCTCGGCTCCACAAGGGTGTGTGTGGTTCAGCTGAGGCCCGGGGAAGAGGTACCACCGGTCCCGTGAGGATGCTGTGCAGTCAGAAGAGGTGTTGGATCCAGTGCCGGACGAGGACAAGGCCCGCTTCAAGCTGTGGTCGGCCGGCCAGCTCCAGAAGATGCAGACTGAGGTCAGGGAGCTCCTGGCTGGCGGTTGGTGTGGACGAACCTGCCGGCAGGGCCGTAACCAGTGCAAGTGGATCTCAAACGAAGGAGGAGGGGGACGTAGCCAGTGACAGCCAGTGCATCCCAGTCAACCGCGCAACAGGTGCTATTCTCATATTCAGTTCTGCATGGCTCTGTCCGTGCATGTCTCTGTGGAAAAAGCTGGAAAACAGAATGGCGCGCCCTGCCAGGAACAAAGCCAAGCACATCGCCAACAGCGGACGGTGCTGATTTTATCGACATCCATGCCTCTGCTGCCACGCTGGCACAGAAACCATACCCAGATGTGGTGACCTGAACCAGAAATTTCCCTGGAGGTCAGAACGTCCTGGCATTTTTTGCCTGAAAGCCTGGGAGGAGCTAACAACCGCACGGGCTCAAGCCAAGCAGCGCCACAAGACGGCCGAGGTGAGCTTTGTTCAGCCTGCTCAATTGCACGCGGCTGCCTTCCCGGCCCAAAGATGCCCAAGCTAAGAAGAGCATCGCAAAAGCCCAGAATGGACGGCCCAACAAGTTGAGCACCTCATCTTCAGCACGGGCGGAGAAGGTATGGAATAAGGCCCAGGACCGGGCCATGGGGGGCATACTTGGCGTGTCCAAAACTAGAGCCCCAGCAATCTTGGCTCTAAGTCGTAAGTGTTCTGTCTGTGCGCTTTCCGTGCAACAAGCTGATGGGCAGGAGGTCTTCTGTAAGGAAACTAGCAACTAGTTGGTAAAGAGCAGCCAGAACATCCCCTGTGATATCCCTGCAGAATGGCAGGTGCAGGAATCACACCGCATGATAAACTGTGGTAGGCAGTCGTCGGGTCGTCAAGACTGCAGCTCGGACTGCGCAACCCGGCAGGACGTCAAGAATGGGGAAGTCGGCCCTCGTCTGGTTCAAGCCCCGCGCCGAGACCCCACAAGATTGGCCCAAAGCCCAAAACCCGCGCAGGTGCAGCCGCTGCCTGCTGATCGTCTGTGCATCTGTTGCATGTGAGTGTTCATATGTACGCTGGAACAGAGTAGCCGGGAACGTTCCCGGTCCCCTTTCCATATTTTCCATATCTTTCCACGTCCCGCGAAAAAGATATCCCGACCATGAGGCCCAAAACGCTTTAGTGCCTGCCTGCAGAGATGGCACTGAGACTAGGAACCGTAATGAAGTGGGGTTGCCCTGCCGCCATGGCCGGAGCCGGAGGGAGCCGTGAGATGCCGTGAGCCCAGCTCCTTAAGACTCTGAGGGATGGAGCAAGGGCGGCATCCGCCCCTCCGCAGTAGTGCTCCTGTTGGCCTGCTTCTTTGGCCAGAGTATGCCTCGGCCGAGCTCTGTAGAAGCTTTGGCTCAAAGTCGTGCAGAGAACAGAAAGGACCATGCATTAGCAAGCAATAGCCAGCTGCAAGGACTGAAGATAAAGCTTCAGGAAGCCAGCTCCTCCCGGGAAGAAGTGTCTGAGGTCACTACAACGAGGCTAAGCCAAGGACAAACAAACAGCGCGAAGACCGTGTGTTCCGACCAGCACACTCGCACCAGGTTCGGCGGGGCAGGCAGCCGCGCAGACCGAACTTGCGCAGTTGCAGAGAGCGGGAGACCGAGAGAGAGGTTTGGTGCCTTTTGCCATCTATGTCTGAAGCTCTGCTTTCTTGCTGTCGTGGAAGTCGGAAAAAGGTTCGAGCTTCAAGCCAATAAGTGAAGCTTGCCAGCGAGATGTGGGTTTGTGAGCTCTGCAAATCTCAGATGTGTAGCTGGACCGTAAGCTTCCCGGCTCCTTCGGTGGGAACGGAGGCAGCTGCTTGCGGTCAAAGAGCTCAAGGAGCTTGACGTGGCATCTGGCGACCAGGCGAGGTCAGGCGAGGAAACTGAGGATCGCTGTAGCAGTAGCATGGCATGGGCTCCTGTGCACTCTTTGCCATGTCTGGCCTGAGAAACTCACTGTACCGTCGCGCCACCACCCAGCACTCGTTGCCATTGCTCAGCTGCAAGCTGTACACAACCTGATTGCATACAGGGATGTTTTGGCTTGTGGGCTCATCACCCATTTAGACACGTTGCCGCTGAACCCGTGGCGCACATCCGGAAATCCAGGAGCTTAACGACCTCAGTGATGCTCGAAGCATCTCGAAACTGAAGCTGCCACGATGCCTACATGAGACCCGTCTGGTGTAGAAACGAGTCATGTCCTTGTGAGGATGCTGTGCAGAAGCTTGGGCCGTGTCCCCGTCTGGCGTCGCAGCCATCGATCTAGCGCTTTCGGGTGGTGGTCCTCAAGCTTCAAAATTATCTTGCCTCAAGATCTGGATAAAGCATCTCAAAGGTTCAGACACTGCATGTGGCCGCATCATGGCATGATGCGAATTCGCTCGAAATGAGCTGCTACCGCTCTGTCTGTCCTCATGAAGGGTGATGGCTCCTAGTCCTAAAGTGCTTGCAGCATGCCGGACCCCAGAAATGGTATTATCCGGTGCCTACACCATTCGGAATCTAGCAGGATCTAGCAAGGCAGCCGCTTGGTGGCAGATCCTCTGCACGCCGCAATGGCGAGATTTAATCGCAGGTGGAAGCCAAGTGCTCAGACTTCAGGTTCGTTCTAGACTCATCTTGTCTCGTGGTGTGAAGCTTGAGATGCAGGCGATTTCAACATGCGGGAAAGTTTCACAACCCTGGCAGCCCCAATCAAACAGATGCAACAGCACCACCGCAAGAAATGCGGGGGCCTCCCAGGTGCTGACGCCTTAGCTAGCAGTCCCAGACAGGCCCTTGCTGTCCGAGCTTGGGCCATGGACCAGCCGCTGGTGCTGCGGAGTTGGCCTCGGCAGCACGGAGTTGACTGCTGCCAGCTGCCAGGGCCGTGCATGAGCCGTGTCTGAGATGCTGGCGTAGTCGAGCGCTGACAGCACGTTGACCAGAGAATCCATAGGAATCTAAGTTGCCGGGCCAACGGGTTCGCGCCACAACGGCGGCTCTAGGCAGGACTTTGAAGACATCGTCGTGCTCATGGATCCGCATTCGGGCCCCAGCGGATGCCAGACCTGTCATCGCGTCTCGCTTTCAGGGTTTGTGCAACGCAAAGATGCCGACACCTGGGCACCACAAGCTGGAAGTGCATCTTTTCTCTCGAGCCGGCATCAGCTAACACATATGTAGAATGTAGCAATTTACTCCTTCACAGCCGTCAATTGCAGCACATGGTTCTCCTGTCGACTGCTCCGGGACTTAGAGACCTGAGAAGCCTGGCCCTCTGCTTTAGGAAACTCTTAAACTTTTTCTGAGAATTTCCCTCAGTCCTGATCCCACGTCTCCACGGCACCAGGGCGTGCCCTGCGCACACGGCGCAAGGCTTCTTCAGGGCTAGCAACGCCCAACTCGATGAGCAGGCGCGAGGCGATGGTGCCTTCAAGAGTAGAGACAGCGTACAGTTTCTGTGGCGCTGATTGCGGAACCAGTCCTGCTCGACCGATTCCTCCTCGGCAGTGCGCGACAACTTTGCCGCCTTTGCGCAAAATCTTTCTGACTTTCTCACCGTCGCCACGCTGGACCCAGCAACCTGCACTTCGTTCATAATGACAGCAGCCAGCCCATGCACAGGCTTCTCAGTCTGCATCGGTGCCTTCGAAAAACATTCCGGGAGCACTGAAGTCTGGCACCGGGCAGTGGAACCATTTCATCTTACGGCTCTCCACCGCAGTCTTCATGTCCTCTACGCCTAGCATTCGCAGCTCGTCATCCTGTTGTGAGGACAACGAACAAGTTCAAGACACAGATGGAAGCGAGTTCAACATTAGCCACATCCTCCAAACAAATCACTAGCTCGTTACAGTCCTGCACCAGGGTGACAACTGCCTCTGCTCCCCAAGACTTTACGGCATCCAGATCTGCGCCCAGATCACGCTCTCGCTTTCCAGGACACGGTGTGATTGCCTTATGCATTAGGACATGTGCACCCGCGATAATGTTTTTAACTGAGACCTTGGATCATCGAGCCTCAGCCCCATACCACCTTCGCTGACAGCTCTGGAATCTCGACGATGTACATGTCCAGGGCGGCAGAGTGCCCCCGCATGCGGCGTGAAGCCCGGCGGCACGAATGACTTGTCCGCTGCTGGTCCGGGACATCTGGACAGCGTGGCCAAAGCCCCATGTATCCTGCGGGCAACGACGCGCTGCTGAAGTGGCTTCGCCCGGAAGACATTCTCATGTTACTGTGCATACCGTGTGTCAGAAGCATCCGGGGACTCCTGGTAAAAGGCCCAAAGCCGTCAAAGCCCAGGCGACTGCACACACTCTAGCAGCACGTGGCATGCAGCCGCATCGATTCATTCTGGCTCACGAGATCATCCTTTTCAGCACTAGGATCTTCAACATCATGGCCCCGTATGGCAATGACTTGATCCTACATGGTGTCGCCGAACTTGTTTCTGTCGAGTCCAGCAGGAAATGTGGGGTTTGGGCTCCAGGCCTTGCTGACACAGCCCATCATGGAATTCTGTGGAACTCAGAGGCTGCAGACACGTTGAGCCGTCCGCTGCAGCGTCTCACAGACTTAGTTCTTCAGACTTCCTGACTTTGGCTTAGCATCATGAGGCCCGTGTTGTACCAGCATCCCCATGTTGCAAGGGCGGCCGTTTGCATCCAACTGGCCGAGCACCTTGTCTGGCCCGACATAAGCTGCGACTGGTGACTGCTGGCTGTGCAATCTGACTACGAGCACGTCCTGCAACCGAGGCACCCAGGAAAAAAGGTCGATGTCGAAGTAGCCCAAAGCCTCTGCAGGCGTGCCGGCGCTGAGACGATGATGGGGACCGTGCTCGAAATCTTTGAAGCACTAGCTTTATATCTATGTGGTCCCAGGTTTCCAACCCTGACGTACTGTTCCGATGCAAAGTATGCAAACATATTTCGACTTCGCCATGCGGTTGCTTCCCGAGTCTTTACTACAGGCCAAGCAGAAGGTGTCATACACTCAGACAACAACATGGAAGAGCAAACACATGTGCCGACTCTCTTCCGATACCATCCCGTGAATATGAGGACAGTTGCACTCATCGATATTGCCCGTCATGATACCATGTTGCACGTGTGAACATTGACATGCACTTCGAAAGCATTGGGCAACATTTGTTTAAAATTCTAAAACGTCTTCGCACTCAGACATGTCATGACTCGACATTCGGTTGTGTGCTTAGACCTACCCGGGCTTTGGACCGCATAAGCGCAAAGAAGGTCCGACCTTAGTGCTCAACGCAACACTGTCCTCTCCTCTGCGTGGTTCCTTGAAAGGCTGAGGAAACGGCAGGTTCCGATTCGACAGGTTCGCACGCGCTCCGCTCCGAACCTGAGAACCGAGCCGCTCAGCTTTGTGCCGCTGCCTTTTTGCACGTCGGTACAAGCAACACTCTCAGGTCAAGGGGTCCAAGCACTTCCGTGTCAATGGCGAAGCCGCAACAGCGATGCTAAGCAAACAGCTGTTCGGCTCACCAGGGAAAACAAGGCAGCCGAGCTGTGCCTGCAGATGGGTGAAACCAATTTGCAATTTGACAATGTTTACAACATGAGCCGAGCGAAGTCTGGGACCTGCACAGCCCTTCCACTCAACATGTATTGAACCGTATCTTGCAATATCTTGCAACCTTCGATATTATATCGCCACTCCACGGGCTTGACATCCCGTGCTCGTCCGCATCTAATCGTAAACTGTTTCGGAACTGCTTGCGGTGTGGGTGATGAAGATGTACATCCCAACATCTAAGAGGCACAAAACATCGTTTGTGTGAACGTTTCCTTACAGTTGAATTCGCCTTCACCTTCAAATCCATAGGACTCTCGAAAAAACATTTAATGTTTGTGCGCAGGCCCTTCAAACCTCTGTGCCTGTGGTTGCTCCCGTTGCAGTCCTACATTCTTGCGCAGCTACGTTCCTATGCATCCTGCCGCATCCATGTCCTGTAGTCGTGAGAGCACTTTGGAATAGGAACGGTTGGGGAAGGACGTCAGTTCATATTTTCTGGTACGTTCTCGCTTTTGGAATCGTAGAGTCACACTTGCGAGCCTAGCTTCTAAGGCCAACGCTGTAGTCGAGCGCAGGACACCGCAACGGAAGCCTCGGAGTGAACACGTTTGCAAATCGATCGATTCTCAGTTTGAATTGTCGCTTTGCGCACGACCCTCCTCCCATCGATCCTTTTCCTGCTCTTCGAGTCTGCAGTGGTTGGGCCTTTCAGTCTCCTGAACTTGAGTCTGAGCTTCTGCACCATGTACCTTGGATGTGCCGCCGCTTCGCACTTCCCTGCCTGAACTTGGTTGGACTAGCGTGACTAGCGGCTCGTGCTTTCAGGTACTCTTGGAACCCCTCGGTGCTCGCCTCGGATCAACACCGTGCTGTGTGCAGATGAGGGGTGTGTGGGGCCATGTTTATCCCAGTGTCCCCAAGTTGCTCCAGCATTTCCTCGGCATCCTGTAGCCTCGGTCGAACAACACTCTTGCAAGCTTATGTCGCTTGGGGCTGCTGTTGCATCCGACAGCTGGCCTCATAGTCTCGTGAGGATCCAGGCCTGCCTCATTTTCGACGTGATGCTGTGCTCTACAAAACTTCCACAGCACATGTTCAACAACGCCTGCTCCATCAGAAACATCTGCTCAGCCAAGTCGGACGGTGAGTTATCGTCTTGGCTTGAGTACGAACCGGTGATTTGCCAAGCTTGCGAGTAGGTGTACGCTGGTGTCAACTAAGGCTTGGGGCCGCTGTATCTGCCCACCACCTCCTTGGATGTTAGGTTGCCAGCATCGAGTGAATTCAGGCTCTATTTGCCTGTGAAGGATATGCTTGAGTGTGCACAAGCCTGTCAACACCTTGCAGCTCAACTGCGCTGTGCAGGAAGCTAAGAATGTCAGCGAGAGCCACCTAATTAATCATCACTTCGTTTGCTGCCAGCACTACCATCAAAAGGCAGCCTGAGGCCTTCAGGCCTCCCCATCCGATGAGATGTGAGGAACTCGAACTAGCAGCACTGATGTCTGGACGCTTCGTGAACGCCAACCACCAGCTCCTGCACCCGTCAAAAGGGTATGCCCCATGAACCCAAGGCAGTAAAACAGATTACATATGACAGCTTGCAAGTGCAGGCGTGCTGCTGTTGGTCTTGCACATATCGCCCCACGACAGAATTTTGGGTCGCAGCGTTCCATGAAGCCGCCTTGTGTTGAAGGCATTTGTTCAGGCGGGCTGAGAGAAATCACGTGCTCCTGCGAGCGACCTATTGAGCTTCAGCTTAGCTGGCGAGCTGAGTCCCTGACGCAAGCGCTGCTCGAAGCGTGCGCTGCGTCACCATGGCACTTGTCATGTTGCGTTCACTGATCGTACAGTGTGTATCGTGTGTTGAAGTTGTCGCACAAAGCACATAAAATAGAAACGCTCTTGAGCCGTGCTCTGCCGTTTGTTGCACCAACCGGTGCGTTCGCCATACCCTGGCCAAACGTGTTTCTGGTCATGAATCACGAGGGCCAAAAGGCGCAGCACTGCTAGCAGGACAAAAAGTGACTTGTCGCGTCAGGGATGCAGACTAGGTGATAGAATGCACAGGTCACTGGCTCTTCTAGGTCTGCCATGTTCATGTGACACATCCTGCATGTAACCGTGTGACCGGTACCATTGAAAGAGCTGCATGGCATTGCATGGCAGTAGGCTCGAGACCATGAGTTGCGGATGCTCTGCCCAGCTTGGACCTGCAATTGCGGCGGTTTCGGCTGACCGCTCGGGCAAACGGCAGTGGCGCCGGCAGTCGCGAGCCTGACTTCTCCACTTGGTCTATTAGGATCTGTAGGACAGGCGCGGGCCTGTCGGACTCAAGGCGAAAGTTTGCACAAAAAGGGCCACCCGCATTCTGAGGTGGAAGCAAGGGAGCGGGGTACAGCTGCACAGGCGCCTTGCCGGTTGCAGTTTGGTTTGCAAGTCTAAGACCAAGCTTCGAGGCAGCTGACACCACTCCAGGCACATCAGACTGTAGCCACAAATTCCGAGAGTTTCGGAACTCTGCTAAACCATCGGCCCACAGAACCTGCCCAACCTATCGCCTAAGAATGAAGCATGTGCGAGAGCTTGCGGCGTGGGAAAAAAGCTTGTTGGGTGTTCTTCGTGATATTTTGGCACGCTTTAGGTCCGAGACTGGGGTTCTCTCTTGCGTTTTGGACTGCTTTCTTTGGATTGTTGCAGTTTGATGCTTAAGTCTTTCGTTGATGTCAGGTGGCGGCTTGCAACTCTACGCTACGCGTATGGTGGAAGGCGTCGGACGGCGACCGAAACGGCACTGCTACTGCTACAGCTACTGCTGCTGATGCTGCTAGTACTGCCAGTACTAGTACTAAAACTAGTACTGCTACTGCTGCTGCTGCTACTACTACTACTACTACTACTACTACTACGACGACGACGACGACACGATGACGACGACGACGACTACTACTACTGCTACTACTACTACTACTACTACTACTACTAGCCCAGTCCAACTCGATGTCTTCAAATGTGCAACTTACGAGTGACTTTCGTTTCAAATGTGGATATTTGCTCTGGGTATAGCTTTTCGGACGAACACAAAACTGCGATGTGCAGCGTCGAGGAGCTAGAGCTCAAAGGAGCCAAATAACGGCGTGACGCCGAAAAGCCAGGACGCGAAAAAATGCATGAGTAGACCTCCCACAACATGGTGTTCCCTTCAACAGGGATGCACGGAAGAAAACTCTTCCCCTACATCGAAACATTCGCTGTGAACTCGGCTGCAGTAGACTAGTTGTCACAACCTTTTCGCTTGATGCTAGAAATCCGACAAGCTTGCGCTGCTCGAGGTTCGCTCCGGGAGCTTGGCGCCGTCACCGTGGATCCCCGCAATGGCATGGAAGGAGTTGGCCTGGATGCACACTCGTGGAAGTGACTCCAAAACTTAGACGTGTTCGTATGAGAAGAGTGTACATTCTCGCAGAGCTACACACAACACCAGCTGACGGACCCTGGAGATCGCCTTGGGTTCCGTGCCCTGGTCAAAGCATGAACAACAATCCCTTCCCCCTAATATTAAACGGGGGCGGCACCCCCGGTCATTCCCAGTTCAACAGTCAGAAGGGATGTTTCTATTTCTATCTTCCCATTCGACATAGGTTTTAAATGGCGCGAGATGCTTTCTGCGGGGATTTTCCGGAAAGTGTTTTTACGTAGTATTAGGGGGGTGTTTAATAAACGGGAAGCGACCAGCGCACAGGGCGGTGTACCCATAGGATCGACATGTCACAATTCTCACTAAGGAAAGCGAGGTAAATGCCTGCTTGCATCCAAAGCTAGTGGGAGGATATGATCATCAGAAAAAGGCCCAAACCACTTACAGGGCAGGCGCTAACCGCTCGCAACTACATCATGCACTGAGGCCGTGTCCAATTGCTGCACTTCGAAATTCACATCTTTTCTCAAAAGCCGAGCCTGCACAACAAGCAAATCTCTCATGTGCAGCCTGCTTTGAGAGTCGGTCCTGCAGCGCGGCCAGCAGTGCTGCAAACCTTGCCGCTCTGTGCAGCACAAACGGATGGGAGCGAACGGGAGATCTGTGACCCCGGCTCTTCGGATGCCAGTGATAGGCGGGAAATCGTCAGAAGGCAATTGGCCACATGCTGCGACGATCTGCAGCATCGGAATTCAGACTTGCGTGCTGGGTGCGATTCATCACATCTCGCTAGGTTCACGGCAATCTCGGCACTTTGCCACGCAAGGATCCTGCCAGCACTCGCGCCAAAGGCTCCTGTCGCGCAGTGTCACGCGACGCGACCGTAAAGAGCAACGGTGACCTTGTGAAGTGCAAGTCGGCCGCATGCGTAGAAGAGCTGTACCTGCACCAACTGAAGGTGCACAAGTTGTACAGCTTCTGCCAAGATCGACATCGGATGCACTGTTGCCGCTGCCTGTGTCTGTTGTTCCGAATTCGGGATAGCGTCCAACAGCCTCAATTTCCGCAGGCTCTGCGATGCAGACTCATCTTTGAAATCAACATTTGGAATCGCGTGCGTGCGTGTGTGTGTGTGTGTCTACAACTCGAGGTAGGCACTGCAAAGTGCTTGAAACATGTTACGTGTTGCGAGACAAACAGCTTGCACATCAGCAGGCAATCAGCTCGAAATCGTGACATTTTTGGAGGGTTGCGAAGCACGCCAGGTTGTCATCAGTCCGAAGTCATCTGGGGGAGGTGAGGCTGAGCTCACTTCTCCCACGCATGTCTTTACATGCGCAATATTCGCCCAATCTGAGTCTTGAAGAAATGTCTAGCAGATCCTTGCGGTTCATAAACCGTGCCAATCTGAACCAGTTGAAGGAAATGCCTTCTCGGGACCAATGGGCTTGAGAGCAGCTTGCTTTCAAAGCTGCCGTAAAACGTCGCAGAAACACGTCGCCAAGAACATCATCTGCTTGGCCGGCGTTCCCCGATTAAGCCTAGCTTTGAGGCAGCAGTGCACACCAGGCGGTACTTGCCACAACAAAGGAACACTGAGACGTAGAGATGCGCATAGCGTGGATGCTCTGGTGGAGTCTTTTCGTTGCCCAGCCTTCAGCCTAAGCCCTAAGCTGCCTTTGGTGAAACTTTGCATGATCCCATGCCACGAACATTGTCATCAAGAATGGGTTGAGGAGCATAAGCAGCGAGGATGCAAATGATGCAGTCTTTCTCCACAGTTACTAGGATCTTTTGAAATCTCTTGACTCCTTCCATTCTCAATACGTGTGTAGCAGCCTTCCGCGAGGGGATGGAGGCTTCCAAAGCTACGAGCACTAGCATTCACATTCGCAGAAATGGCGGTGCCGATCTCATGTCAGTGCATTACAGCACCCGCCACCTTCAGGCACTCTTGAGGCGAACTTCTGACGTGACGGTTTGCGAGCAGAGCAAGCATTGCGAAGTTCCACCCTGCTCGACTCGTCCCCTTCCAACTGAGCTGACGTACAGTCTCTCTCGTGCCCAACAACCCAGAAGCGAGCAAGGCGCCTGTGGCCAGCTCACTCGCTGGTGGCAAAATCTTTATCCCAGCCGGTCTTGGGATCCTTGTATGGAATCTGTGGGGGCATGTCCTCCTTGTTGGCACTGAAGTTTTTCATGTCTTTCTTGCTCTTGACGGTTGGCACCTTGATTCCACACGTGCGCATGTCGTCTCGCGACTGGAACTCGCACAAGGCAGGCATGGCAAAGGAGGTCCGAGCTTGAATTTAAGCCTCGCACATACGGAGGCTTCATCGAGAGGCTTTCCATGTCGCTCCATGCGAAGCCAGTAAACCACTTCTGTGTCTTGATGTTCTGGATGCCTGACCAAACGGAACCAAGTAATGCAAGCGGTCATCATGTCATTTCTCGAATCTGTCAGGATCTATCAGGCCTCCTTTCTTCATCGCCAGTCGCTCCGTCGGATTGCTGTTACACAGACCCTTCACCTGTGCTCCAGAACTCAGACGCTAGCGCAAACCTCGTGAACATGAGAACTTCTAGGGGAGCAGGTGTCTAGAAAGGTACATGCACAGTCTTCCAGACGCTGGCCACTGCTGAGATCCGGACCAAAGCCTCTACATCTCCCTTGAGCTTCTTGGGGAACACGACTGCATTGATGCCTTTCTGGACCTGCCCCAGAAGTCGAGTCAGTCAAACAGCATCCTATCCGGCATCCTGCGCTACTTTCCGCGACTTTCGAGGGGCATTGACCATGGCGCCATGACGGCCACAGGCCTTCGCATAAATCTGCATGGGCGTGGCGGACTCGAATGGTGGATGTCCTGCAGCACAGCTTAGCGGACATGGTTGCTTGCTGCTTGCACTCGGTGTCACGAACCATAGAAAACCTTCAGCTACAAAACTCTCTCTCTGGCACGGGCAAAACTTTGTCGACTCGCCTGACATGAGCTCGAAGGCGAGGATTCCCAGGGTCCACCAGTCCACAGCGTGAGTGTGTCCTTTGGATGCAATGAGCTCCGGCGCGAAGTAGTCTGGTGTGCCGCAGGTCGTGTAAGTCTTTCCTCAGGAAAACAACAGGAAAAACTTGAACCGATGTCCCTGCATGTGCTTAGAAAGTTTGCCAAAGATGCCAAGACACCGAAAATCACTTTTGCCAGACCCATGTCCGTGAGTTTCACCCTGCCCTCTTCGGTCAATAGCAGGTTTTCTGGCTTCAGATCTCGGAAGACGATCCTGATGAAGGCTACACAGATTCTGAGAACCACCGCAAAACAAGATCACAGCCGTGTCACTGCGCACGCATCATGTCGAAGTGCCACAGTGCAATCGAGCATCTTCTTGCCATGCAAATGTTCAAAGGCTAGCACGGTTCCGGCCACATAGAACTTTGCACAGGCCTCGTTGCCCCACATGTTCCTCTTGTTGTAGGTAGCATAGAGCTCACCACCGAGTGCCAGCTCAAGGAGGAAGTACAGATGCTCCGGCGAGTTGTAAGTTTCGTGGAGTTTGACGATAAACGCGGAATCGCACATCCTTGGTCCAGATGCATCCCTAGCCCTTCCCGGGTGGGCTCGGCGTGAACTTTCTAGCCAGGTGTCAGCTGCACATTCTTCTCGCTCATGACACTCGCTTGCATGCCACTTTTGACAACCTGGTGCAGAGCGGACTTGAGCGGACCTTTCTACGATGACCTGTTCATATGTCGCGTTTGCCTGCTGCACAATTTTCACGGATGGTGGCGTGATGCACTGACGCATCCAAGCGGCGTATCCCTTGCTGAGGGCCTTCAGAGCGAACATGTTGCCGGTCTTGGTCTCTTCAACCAGTTCCACCGCTCCGAAGCCGCCGCAGCCCAACAAGCCGTGCCTTAGCTGAAGAACCCAGCAACCGACAAACAAGGTCTCGGACGCAAGGGCTGTGCCATCTGAAACGAATGGTCGAAAGCATTGAAATCTTATGACCAGGATGAATTTTGCAAGTCGCTTCTTCAGATCCTTGAACTTGATGACCCCAAAGCGCTTGGCATCCTTGTGAAAAACTGCTTCAGGCAATCCGGCAACCGAGGCCGACAGATCACGCGGCCTAACATACTCGGTGCAAGTTTGCTTTGGCTTTCATGCTGACGATCGAGGACCGTCTTTGCCCGTACACCGCAGGGGGCGGCACAGGTCTTAATCCAAGGCTCGGCTGCGGCAGTGGGTGCCACTGACTTGGCCACCACGCTGTCACCGTCTTTTCCGCGCTTGATGAGCTCCGAGAGCGAGCCCAGGAGGACCTCGGAGGCACAAGGAGACCGAATGTTGCAAGGAGTGCTAGACTCGCTAGACTCAGACTCCCTCCAGCGTGTTGTGAAAGCTTTTCCACTCACTCGCACTCACTCGGGCCTCGAAGGTCTCCTTGTCCACCCAAAGCCTCGGCTGCTGTCAACCCTTGGGAGCTCTCCGCGAATTGCGAAGTGCCGACGCGAAACGTCCTGGCTCGGTTTGACGTGACCTTGATTGTCGCCGCACGTGGTTCCCGGTTCTCAAGTGCCTGCACAAGCCAGAGATGGCATGAGCCGAAGCTTCGCTGGAAGCACGATCTAGCCGTGTGACACTCTGTGCAGTGCCCCTGCCCAAACGGACTACCGACGAAACACGTCGCCGTCGAACTGTCATGGCAGCACATGGAGCCGACATGTCGCCTTCTCTCCGAAGTAGGGCGCTTTCTCGGGAGTGGCTCGCAAGCTGGCAACTTCCTGCTAAGTCACGGCAATGGCAGGCATCGTGCGCCATCACTCTTGCGATGCCCAGCCTTGCCGTCTTTCAAGACAACCACGGATCCCTCGACCAGGAGGAAGAATTGTGTGCCTGTTTCCTGAGCTTTTCTGTCTTCGAGAAGGCTCTCACGCGGAGGCTTCTACACTTCTAGATCCCTCGAAAAAGGCTGCAAGGTTGAAAGTTTGATCTTTCATGTCCAGAGCTGAGTGGCCCCTTGCTCGAAGATGGTCTCGTCCTTGCTGAAGGTCATTTCATGCATGGCTGCTGCCAGCTCCTTCTTCTCGGTATCCTTCAGTGCCTGTGAGAACCTCAGCTTTCACAGGGCGGCTCGAAGCAGGCCGGTTGAGGCTGGTCCTCGCATGCAGCCATGCTGGGAGCCTGTTTTGCAGTGCCGTTGCTACGGATTTCGTCGGGACCTGCAGTTGCGCATCTTGTTGAAGCCGGGGTTTCGGCGATCCTTTAGTGCATACGTCCTGTCGTGAATAAACATCCCAAGCAGAAACTGGAGTAAGGTCGGTCAAGCTTCTCGCGAAGGGGAGGGAACACTCACTTTGCGGGGCAATAATGTCACTGCCCAGACCGCAGTATGACAAGTGGTGCCAATCATGTTCGCACTTGTATTTTGTAAACTGGCTCCAGGCCTGTCAAACAGGCTCTCTCGCGGCTCAATATTGCCCGGGCGCAAAACAGGACGCAACAGAACAGAACGCTGCTTAACAGGTATGCAGCACCCCACAACATTCAATCACATCGCGATGGAGCCGACAAAGGAGCGCATGGAACAGCAGGCGACGTGTGATGCAAGAGGATTTGCCCCACAGTAGTACAATGCGAAATGTGATGGTGTGCCAAGCCACGCACAGCTGTCGCACTTTGCTTCGCGCTGTGCAACGACGTGAAGCGCTCTGTATTTTGGCACGCTGGCAGGTTGCAATGCCACGGAAGGGTATACCATGGTATCAAGGTAGTAGAACCCTCGGGAAATGCCTTTAAGGTCACCACCTTGACTTCGGCCGCCTGTTGCATAGGCGTAACAGTCGTGCCATGTCGTTCAATCTGCTTGTTTCCATCAGGCTATACTGCTATACCCTGTCGTAGCAACTCGTGGGACCAAATGGTACCTATGTTCTGGCATTCAGTACTTGCTTCGACTCGAAGCGAATGCAGTGGAGGATGCCGGCAGCAGATTTGCAGCGCTTTCGTATTGAACGCTCCACTCTGTTACGGCTGGCATGTGTGCTGCGAGGCATACCTGATGTCAAGTGTGTCAGGCCATGGAGTGTTGTTACATATCTGGTAGCGTGACATATAATGTCACACCATCTATGCACTTGATCGCTCTGCTGCGCAACTGTGCAAGCCAGTCTCTTTGTTACTCCTTGTTTGTTGTTTTGCCACTGCCCGTGGCTTCTGATTGGTCCAGCACGCGTGCTCGCCGTTTGAGGAATGTGCAGTTGGCAGTCAGCAAACCTAGTACGTGTGGCGGGCGGGGCCCTTTTGGCGGGTTGGCAAGTCAAGGTTGTGTGAAGGTTTAGTGGCGTGAGCCTGGATTCTAATATACGTTGTAGGCCGACATTGTAAAGCTGCAGCACTGCTTGTTTGAGTTTGTCGTTGCAACCTTCAGTGCTCTGACCTACATGTCAATTCCTGTGCAGCCCGTGCATACCAGGACCCTTTTTATCTGGTGTTGTTAGCATTCATGACCTTGTTAATGCTATGCGGGTCGTGGAGGATAAACAGTGACATGATACCGCAAAGGCACCGCAACATTCATCATTTTGTCAACACCCACTGAACAATGGCACCGCCCTCCCCTCAAAGACACAGCTGCTAGTGCGGCAGCGTGCAGCCACCATGCAACGAAGCTCTCGATGCTGAGCAATTCAACATCTCGTCACGTCGAAACAGCACTGCGCGATGCATCAGCCAAGCAGCACCTCGCAACGGCCCACATAGTCCAAGTTCTGCTTGGTTTCGGCCTCGTTCGCGCGCAGAAGAATTTCCTTAGTCATGTGCAGATGCGTGAAAGCACATCGGGACAGTGCCAGGCAGATGTCCAGTCAAGAATGTCAACAAAGCTTCCTTGAACTGTTGGCGTGCCGTCACGAAAACCTCGGAGTCGACGTTCGCCGTGATCGTTGCAGCCTTGGGTGCTAACTTCCGTTTTTAGCCTATAGTTTATGAACAGGAAGAGGGGGCGTTCGGAACGTGACGCCATCAAAGTCCAGCTGCTCGGGGTGCGAAGTAGAGCAAAGCAAGCTCACCGAAGCTGCCTCCGGCCTGTTTCGAAAATCTACCAGCTACTGAGCGCCACAGAGCCTGCAGCCTTCGATGTGGGACGCTAGGTCAGTCGCTTGTGGATTTGCACCGATTGGGTTGCCATCTCTTTCCTGCTCTTGCCACAGCATGCCTCCACACAAGCATCAAGGCCAGAATGAGATTGGTTTGGCGGGGGATGCTTTCAGGTCGGTCTTTGCAAGGTGTGTGTTGATTCTTGCCTTGCCAGACGGTGTCAGGGATCTTCAACGTCTTGATTTTGCTCAGGCGACAAACATGACGGCATGGAGAGGTTCGATCTGACTGCCCCTGAAAACCGGAACGATGGGCTTGCAACCGGTTAGGGTGCGCTACTGAAGTTTTACAGTTCGGAATTGTCGATGCATTTGTCCGCGCACGTTGTAGGTTTACCCGACGTTCGTGCGTCAGCTGGCCTAAGTTTGTTTCCCGCGAACATACATGAACATAACCCCGGTAGATTCCCTGCGCTGTGGCTGTTTGACCCATAGCTGGATCTGCAAGTGCTGGAGAAGACGTCGTCACGTTGAGCCTCCACTGTCCCCAGTTGTGCAGCAGCAGCGGACTCGACGCCTGGGCTCGAATTCAAACTGGCACAGGAGGCGAGTGGGTCTTCAGGTTGGCATTTGCAGAGCGTCTGCAAGGCTGTGCGCTGTGCATAACACTCCGTCCGTGGTTGCAGCCACAGAGCTTTGACCCTCTTTGACGTCCTCCGCCTTGCTGACGGAAAAGCTTCCTGACTTCACGATGTAGAAGTAGTCTGCCTGCCACAAGCGATTCAGGGATGCATTGGCGCGTGCTTCCTGGTCGCATGAGAAGGCCTGCAAATCGTTTTGCTTGATGATGGCGGTGCCCTTGGCTACGGGCTCCTTCCACATGACGTCGGACATCGCTTTTATGCGAGCCTGGCGTGCGCAATCAGTACTAGCACTGCGTACTTTGGCAAAATACATGTACTGCTGAACTGTGCTGTGCAGTGCTTTGACAGCCTCGTCAAGGTTTGCAATCGTGTTGAGGTTGGTGTTGGCCTGCAGCGCCTTCTTGATGAGCCTGGATGCTGCTGCGACTGCCCCCGCTAACTTCATTCCTGTTAGCTTTTTGGGTTCATCTGAGCGCATCTGAACGCGTACTGTCTGGTCCAGGAAGCTCAGCGTCATCGGTGGACTTCTGGCTCGGCGGTTTGATCTCAGCCTGCCAGGACGGGATGCAAGGGTTTCGTGCCGTCGTGCCGTAGGTGCAAAACGAGTCAGCGGCAAAGAAGCTTGTTGCTGGGATCGCTGTGCCAAATTTGGCCCAAGCTTTCGCCAGGCCTGGCCTGGACCGCGACTCCGCCACCAACGGCGCCTCGCTTGGGGAACTCCAACTTGTCCTGCAAGCCTAGACCTCGGGAGGGAGGCCGCTTCGTGCAAAGGCCCGGCTTTTCGCGAAACCAAAGCTTTGCGAGGAAACAGAGGTAACGCCTGGGTAACACTGACGACGACGCCGAGGACAAGAGCAGTGCGGACGTGAGCAAGAGAGGCTCAGGAAGCCGAGCTCACGGTCCACGAACAAGTCGGCACGGACAGCACGCAAAGAGAATCGGCAGGCAAAGCATCAAGTCTGCCCCGAACACAGCACTTAAACACGCGGCGCTGATGGCATCATGCAGACTGTAGTGTTTGCGTGCCCCAGTCATTCCTGAATGCAGACTTTCGTTCCCAGTTGAGTGTTTGAGTATCCAAGTCCACGGGCTACAAGTACTGCTTGAGACGTACAGCTGACATGTCCAGTTTATTCTGCACAATAGGCCGGTGTCCGAAGACCTCGGGCCTTGGCAGTTTTTCTCTTGCGAACAATTGCCACAAGCATCGGGCGACGAACCGCCGGTCTGTGCCGCCGCTCAAGCTTGCTCAAGCCAAGGCACTGGAAAACGCTTGCCTCGTGATTTTCAGAGTGACCACCTGCCACATGTGAGCGACATTGAGCATGAGAGGCCCGAAGGCTGCAGGCAGCATCTGTGCTCTGGTGAAGCTGAGGCCTGGGAATTGGCCTTGATGGTCGCGTTGCGTGGCTCGTTCCGCAAGAGCGCATTCTCACCGAAGTAATCGCCGGCTTTCAGCCCAGCGACCTGCAAAGAAGCACAGCTCTCAGAGTGCGAGAGACGCGCTCAGGTCACAGGCAGCCATTCAGCCATTCCTGAAAGGGTGGGCATAGTGGTGGCCCCATGTTTTTTCGTTGTACAGTTCCTGCATGGCTGGGATTGGGGCCACCGTTTTCAGGTCTCAGTTGGGCCCGTGATTGCAGCTGAAGTCGTGGAGGGGCTCATGCCCTGCTCGTGGTGACACAAACAACACCGCACCTTCTTTCCGTTGATCTCCACATCAGCCGTGCCCTTCCTCGAATGCGGTTGCAGCACAGGCAAAACTACACGAGACCATTGTACCTCCAGAATTTATCACGTGAGCAGCGAAGCCGGTCGAATCCTAAAGTTGGCGAGAGGCTTGATCATGAAGAATTCGTTGCCCTCCTCGTGCTGCTTGATGATGCTCTGACCGGGCTTGAACTCCACTTCCGTCGCCGACTTCGCGAGGGCCGGAAGCTCGTCCTGCACATCCATGATACATGGGAACATCTGGCATGCGAGAAGCAGGTGAACGTCGCTACAGGCCTGGGGCAACCGCTTCAGCAGCTTCACTTTGCACAGGAACCTCATATGACACACCAGGCAAAGCTTCCAGACAAAGAAGGACCGCCTGACCTCCAACGGAACTGAGCAGAACCAGAATCAAGCGGCATGTAGGTTTGTTCATCGACGTTTGCCTTCGACTCCCTGCCAGCACTTCCACCTTCGGTACTCTGGTTGCAGCCCATGGCAAATCCTCGGTCATATCAAGACCCCGTCGCGTGTCGTGCGGCACTGCACCTTGCAATATGACCGTGTCACAAGGACGTCTGCCGCCAATGCTACCAAGCGTCACAGCGTGAATATTAGCAGTCGGGTTGGTTCACTTCTTCGCTACTTCGAGCAGTCAGGAACTCTTGACAGGCCGGCGATGCAAAATGTTCCAACATGTGCGAGCACAAGAGTCACAGGAGCAGCAAGCTCGATGAAAACTGACCTAGGAAGTTCCTCAGTTCATCTAAGCATCAGGAGTGGTACTCCTTTGCATGCTCACCGGCTCAGCCTACTTGGAGCGACTGCCACTGAGACTTCTGCTTGTCCATCAAGCCCCGAATTACCTGAACAGCAAGTCTCAAGCACTCTTGGCTACGTGCGACCTCACTCCACCGGTGAAAGAGGTTCACGGCACCGCCATGTAGATTATGCAGACAGCAACTACTTAGAACATGCCTGCTCATGAACTTGGCCAGACCGGGCATAAGCACCTCGCAAAAAAGATGTGGCATGTCAGTTCCCCAACGACAAGTGGCATCTACAGCGCTCGTGCTCACCCTGTCCAAGCCAAGCTGCAGAAAAGCATGGCGACGCTTTGGTCGTCTGCCTCGCATTTCTGGCGCTCTTTTGCTTCTTGAGAGATATCGAGAGAACGACAGCTTCAGCGGCGGGCCATGCCCAGGGTGGCCAGCACCTGGCATCCAAAAAAGACCAACCCAACCCGCTCCACGAAGCAACGCAAACGTATGTGCAAGTTGGGAGAAGCCTTGCAGTTTTGAGTACCAGTACCCTGCACTTCAGTAGGCACAACGGATGAAGCCCGAAGTCGTCCCCAAAGTCCATGCATTACCCAAGAAGAAGCCGCCATTGCAAAGCTACCATGTAGCCTGGTTCGGTCTGGCCGGCGGAACGGGGCCCCGAGCTCCCAGCTTAAACCTCACCCGGTTCTTACACGGCATCCTGGACAAAAGGAGTTGTGAGATGTGTCAACGTGGAGTCCGATGAGAAACACCTCCGACACAGCTGCGCTGCAACCACTGGGTGGAATGGCTGCAGTACAGGGACGCATTCTTTTTGACACTCACGTTTTTGCATTACACAGGCTTGACCCAGCATTGTGACAGCACATGCATCAGGTTGAACGCTCCTGGCTTTCGACAAGACTTGGCCATTATGAACTCACTGACATCCCTCACAGGGGCAGTGTTCTTGCCGACGCATCAATGCTGCTCGTCTCTGTAATTCTTGCCGCTATGGTCATTCTGTGTCATTCTTTACATCCTTGACTGTCAAGGTGTCTTTGAGATGTCTTTGCACCCGATTGCGAGCGATACAGGTAGCTGTGACCGGAACCATTTCACGGAAAGATGGACTGATCCTTCCATTAACTTTAACAAATCACTCAGACTTGTACCACCTTCTACCACTACTGCCCTATCACCCCGTAGCACATGTTAGGGTCTCAAGGCCCACAAAGCAAAGCTACACAACGTTGGCTTCACTATGCTGTGGCACTGTTGTTGAGTTCTCCGAACTGCTTACTGTATCTGCCAAAAATCCATCCAATTTCAGGCCTGCGGAGCCAGGCTTTGGAACATCTTCCCGTGGTTGGTGGACAGCATGCTGAAGGCATGCATTGAGACCCTGCAGCCAGCGGATGGAAGCGTGACTGGAGTTCGCTTAATTTGAGACGGGCTTGGGCGTGAGCGCGAGCTGGCGGCTGTGGAACTCCGACGCACGCTCTTCGACGGCCTGCGAATCGACGGAGCCGCTTCGCGAGAAGTCTTTGCTGACGCAAACCCGAAGCCGGAGGAGCGGAGGCTTGGAAATGCTTGGAAGCATGGAGCCGAAACCTCCGCTAAGCAGAAGAGAGCTTTCCGATTTTCCGAGGCCTCAGCTGCCACAGGCGAAGCGCGGAACACCAGAAACCAATCGAATCATCTGAAAGGCTGGGACAATCCCGAGCTTCACCAAGGCGTGAAGTGATTGGGACAACCTGAAAGCATTGGGCTTCTTCCTGCTGCCGTCCAGTAGACACAGTGCGTCTGTCGTCGGACTACCAGTGCCAAGCGGCTCCATAGGAACCAAATCCCGCGCCCGGCTTGGGATTTGCAAGGCCTGCCATGAATCAATGCAACTCGAGCACGAAACTAGACTCAGAAAGCGCAACGCGATGGCCAGGAGACCAGCTGTCCAAGCACTTCTGCATCCTTTAGCCTGCCGCATCTGAGCTCTTAGAGAAGAAAAGGATGTGACTGTGCAAGCGAATAAGCAGCCCACTGCAGTTTTGCATATGCGTTCAGCCTGGGCATTCTGCGGGTGTGAGTACTGCCGCGTACTGCAGGCCAACTTCTCAATCTTCTGGGTTCAGAACAGGTTTGCAACATGCTGCGCCTTGAAGCTTGACAGATTCCGACCTTGCCAAGAGGCACAGTGGCACATGGTGTTCAGCTTTATGGTGGCTTTGGCATGCTGCAAGATGCTGCAAGAAGCATGTGAGCCCGCATCCTTCGCAATAAGCTGCTGGCCAATCGCACTGCCCAGTGCTGCGAAAAGGCTCTCATCACGAAATGCCACCTGCACAGACCAGGAGCAACAGCATAAGCGTCATGGAGCGTCGGCATGGCTGTGTTGTCGTGTTGGAATCCAGCTGAGGCACCTTCGCCCAAGCATTTGCCACGGCTGCAGTTCCTGGACTCCACGCTCCAAGTCTTGGTGCGTGCCTCCATACAAACGTCCCTGCCTTGTGGAGTGAGCTCCACTACCTTCGCCGCAGTCCAGCCTTTCACCAAGACTGACCCAGTCGCGAGATCACCAAGTTCAGCGAGTTGAGCTGCTGACTGCTGAGCTTTTGAAAGAGGGGGCCGTCTGCGATCTGGAGCAGCGACACTGTTCCGTAGTTCAGACTGCTTTTGAATATGCCGTCTGCACTCCCGGTATGGCACTGTAGAGCATGAAGTCAGGGCATCTTTTGCTCTTTCTCCAGTGGGTCTAAGGCGGTAGAGCACAGGGGCACGAGAGCCTTCAGGTCTGCGCGCCAATGCCTGCATGAGCCGACTCGAAGCTGTTCTGCACACGGAGTACGCTTGCAACCGAACAGTCGCTTCGGTTGTTGATCCAAATCCATGGATGAACGACGAACTCGACATAGTGCAATGGGATGTGCCTATGTAGAAGCCAAGAAACCGAACAAGCTTTGCCACTTGCAGGGCAACGGCCAATCTCATGCATCCAAGCGTCAATGCCATGTGTTTAGAGTGGCAACCGCCAGCAGTCTGACCTCTCTGCATCGATCCTCCACGCCCTTCTTGCAGCCAGCCTATCCATACTATGGGCACTCTGCAATGCGTCCAGAACAGCGTGAAACGTACATGAAGATCCATGCCTGAATCTCCTTTTTGAAAGGACTTAGGTGGCCGAAAGCCTGGCGCTCCCAGCTCAAATCATCAAGTGCTGATGATGACGGGCTAACCATCTTCTGGTCTGCCGCTCCTGCTGGATCAAGGCCATCAGGACCTGAAAGCAGCCGAGCCGTACCTGCAGGGAGGAGCTGTGCCAGGGTGATGCTAGCGAAGATTTCAGAGCTGAGCTGCCAAAGGCTTGCAGTGAGCGCCGCAAAGCTCACACAGCGGACCGACCTCAGCTTCGATCATGCTGAGGGGCTTGATGAAAAGCTGAGAAGCTGCATGCTGCAGTATCGCTGCCACCGGCTCGAAACATGAATAAATACAATCTGGTGCGATGCAAAACTGCATCCTGGCCCACCGTGGCCAGCTCGACTTGTTAGCTTTGCACTTGCAGATTGAAGCCACAAGCTCGTGAAGAGTAGGCCTCGTGTGTCATTCATGCCAGATTTGATTCGTGGAAATATGGAAATATTGGTAGGCCAAGCAAGGCGCATTATGTGCGTAGTTTCGCATGGGCGATGACACGCAGCAAACCGACCGTGTAATCGGCAAGGTCATGGATCCCGTATGATCCCGTGCGGCAGACAACCGGACGAACGCACCGCAGGTGCAGGCCAGGCCACGGAGATCTCATGAAGGAGATATCAGGAGATGATCGTGTACGCTGCTGCATACTGCGTCATTATGTAGCTGCTCAGCAAGCATGAAAGGCACAACACGCCGCAAGTGTCAGGTTGCCACGACTTCAACCCATCGCTGGCAGGGAGGGCTATGCAAAGCAAACGAGGCATGCATTCCCTGTCCCGAAAAAAGGAGCCAGCTCCAGCTGTCATGCGATTGCAGCACGGCAGCTTCCTCCGCTTTGAGGCTCGTCCGCTCCCCCCACCCGACTGTGAAACCCATATAACCCATGCAAGGCTACGCGCTGCTCAAAGCAGGAACGCCGAGGTTCGGTCAGGGTGGATTTGCCAGGAATAGCTCAAGAGTGATTGCACGAGTGCTGAGTAGGAGGAAACCAGCTTCGGGTAGAGACTGTTTGACAACATAAGTTCTTATATTTGATGCGCTGCCGCAGGACCCCCAGCATGGACTCCGTGGCGTAACAACGAAGCCACAATGTACCAAATCTAGATAGCGCGACTCACCTGAGGACCTAGCTTGCTGATGGGATGGGTTGCTTGTGTGAGGAACAATTGCGTCGATTTGCTCGAAGAATTCCCAGCACCACTACTGTCAACATGGGCGACAAACCAACACCAAGCAATCGGCCGTGCCATGCTAAGCCCCACACTATGGAGTGGAGCTCGTCCTCCACCCAGGATTCTTTCCGCTGGATAGCACGTACCAGAAGCTGCCTGGGAGCTGCGAGGTCCCCGTTCTCTCAGCGGAAGAATTTGTGCCGTGCCGAGTGGCAAGACATGAACTGCAAAGATGGCAGCCTGGACAGGAGCTTCTGCTTCGTCGCTGAGATGTCATGCGATGCTGCACGCTCCTGCTCGGCATTCGCAGCTGCCGCACTTTCTTTCAAGCGCTTCAGCCCTGTCAGTGCACCTAGGAAAACGCATCGTGTGGTTCGAAAGGGCATGTTCGCAAGTCGTGCGCGCCTGCTGCTCTCCCCCATCTTTGTTCCAATTTGCTTTGGCCATCTAATGACTGAGCCTGAGACACCACCGCAGGTCGTCACCTCGGATGTCAGCTCAACGTCTGCAGAGTAAGTCAGCCTCTTGTGTGTCACAACTGACCACAATTCCATTCGAGCCAAAGTTTCTGCAATCACCGCAGGCAACCTGGCATCACGAAGTCAGTCAGTATGTAGCCGCAGCCAAAGCTGAAGTGGTAGCAACGACGGCCTCCACAGACAGCGATGCCAGCAAAGCCACAGCGCTCTCCAATGCTGCTCGCCGGGTCCATGCAGCCCCGCCCAAGGCCTCAGTGAGGCTTACGACGGCGTAGGTCGGGCTCCGGCATCGAGGTGCTATTTGGGCCTCTAGGGCCCTCCAGGCTGGGCGGAACCTCTGCAAGGAACTCTCGAGGGTTGTAGCTTCCGGGGTGGGCTGCTCGAATGCCGCTAACTGCGCCGCTCAGTCATCCGATGCGGTTTGGGGTGTTCCCATCAGAAGGAAAATCAAGGTATGCAGTGGATTTAGGCCAAGCTGTGGTGCGGGAGGCCGAAGTCATGCAAACGCAGATCTGCAGATGTCTTGCGTTGAGCCGTCTCAGCCAGCATCTTTCTGGCTGGTACATTGGCTCTTCGCTCTACTTGGGCTAAGACTAAGATCCTGGCCTTCGCTCGAGACACCAAAGATGGCAGAACTGTTCGCGAGAGCCTCATGCTACGTCATCGATACTGCTGCCAGTTGAAATGAGCACCAGCACACGTTCATCCGAGCAGCTGCTGTAGGGCGATCGGTGGAAGTGCATCCTGAGAGCAAGCACTGGCACAGCCGATGCCTTTGATGTTAGACCGTGGCACGTCGCCAGCTCATCCTTAGCACACTTGAAGATACTTGAAGTAGATGTTTAGCCAAGGCACTCTCCCTGGCTTGGACGAGTCCACCTCCGACTTTGCTGCAGTCAGTGCATGTAGTCAGCTAGCAAGCCCCAGCAGTTGTAGGCCTTCACCGGTGCCAGCACCCGAAACGCTTCTGGAACGTATGGCCCGACAGGTGCTTCTTCGTCCAAAGCCAGCAGCAAAGCTTCCAAGAAGCTACCGGCCTCCGAGCACGCGAAAAACTGAGGCCAGCTCCTGCTCTGTCTGCTCTCGCGCCTGTTCAGAACAAGTGCCCCGCCGCCGCAGCAGTGCCTGGAGAGTTCCAGAGCCCGCACGAGGAGTGCTGTCCATTGCTGTCCGGCATCCGAGGCGCAGCAGTGGCCGAGGCCCAGCATGTTGCGGCCCCTCGGCTGGCACGCTCGCCCGCCGAGCTCTGCCCTCGTCAAGGAGATGTCGACTTGTTAATGGTTTCACCTGGTGTCTTCATCGCTAGCACCCTCATTCCCTCAATTGAGAAATACCTAGAACCTGCCTGTGTCCTCGTCAGACCCGAAATCTTCTTTCGTGGTATAACGGCACAACAGTTCTGGAGAGCTCTTGCTAAAGGATCCTCTGGCAGGATCACGACACAGCTTGCCACGGAAGGCGATTCGGAATAGCAATGCCCAAACATAAAATCGGGTTCAGGGACGTTCATGGACAGCAATAACCTGGGCCTCGGCCTCTGAGCAGCGGCCCGAAGGTGTCTCGGAAATTCCTCGGTTCACTGCCCTGAGCGGCACTCAGACTGGCCCTTGCACTGCACTTCGCGGTCTGAGTCTCTGCAGCAGGGCCGACACCTCGACACGCTTCACTGCATCGCCGAACCGTCAAACAGTTTTGCGAACTCGTTTTGACTTGGCCTCTTCGTCCGGGCAGGACTCGACCAAGGACTCGAGAGCCTCTCGGACTCTCGGCAGACTCTTCACCACATCAAGACTGCAGCCTGTTTTGGTCTAGCCTACAAGGCTCAAAACTGTCCGCAAGCAGTCCTGCAGTGCGAGGACTTCAGCAGCCTGCGAATTTACAAGGTCGGGGTCGGCCCCAGATGCACAACGGCACACCTCATCCAGGAGCGTAGACTAGTGCAAAGAGTATGATGTGGTGAGAACTCCAACCAATAGATTTGCCAAGACACAGCCGGCATCGTCTTGCGACAGAAGCTCCAACTGGATTCCGCGGCTTGTGGCAGCACGCCAGGCACCAATCTCAGAGGTCTGTGCCCATTTCAAACGGAATTTGCAGACAGTAATTTGGCAGTGGTTGAGGTTAAGTAGCTGGCAGCCCTTGCATCCCGAACGCATGACGGAAGCTTTGTGAAGTCAGCCGAGCTGCGCGATGCAGTTGGACAGAACATTACAAGAGCTCAGCGCCACAGACTCTAGCAATCGCCGCTGGACAGCGCTAGCCTCGGCATGTCTGCGCTATACTTCGGCTTGTTCAGGTGGCGACACTCTACGCCAGGCCTGCTGCTCGGGCAAGTGGTGGCAAAGCACACGCATGAAGCGACGAGAAGCCTTCATAACAACAAATGTGTTGAGAAAACCCTCCCTTTGCAGTACATGCTGACCCCTGCTGAGAATTTGTCCGACTACTGATTGATTACCATTCTCGGAATGCGCCCAGTATCCAGTGGTACTTAGTGGTGTCGTTGTCGAGAGTGAAAGTGCACCACCTTTGCCGTGATCTATACCATCAGCCAAGAGTCAACACTACAATCGATGATAGACTAGCTAGCTACTACAGAGAGCGGTGAAAGGCCGAA